ATACCTTTTTTGTTTTGAGGTCGGATATTAGTTTATTTATTGATACAACGATCAACGAAATCTTCTGACCTGTTCCTTTAGTAATTATTTAAAATTAAGAGTTTTATTTTACCGACAATAGTGAGTAGTGACCTAGCATCGTTTCATCAGGCCTTATTTCAACTATCTGTTTTGCTATACCTGAGTCATAATCTACACAAATATCGCAATAATCTGTAGCACTAACCATAGTAGATCACATTGTAGAATGAATTATTCAGATTGGAGGTGCAGTAATATGAAGATAGCTTGCCAGGTAAAGTGGCATACGCCAACTACCAGCAGTCAGAAATTATAACTAAGTCTTTATAAAGTGGCTGAATAATGAATTTTCAAATAATCTTTAAAATATTTATAAAAAACAGTTCGTTAAATTAAAACATGAACAAGGTCTCATCGATGTACACACAACAGCAATAACTCTGAAACGGTTCATGAACTTATTACAAATTATAACCAAAGTTGTATCTACCTGCATACCAAGTTTCATCACGTTCGGATGAAAACTGTAGTCTCGATCGTGCCTACAAGCCAAATTTGACCATTCATCCAATTATTACCAATTTTAAACTTGACTAAGATCTTGTCCATATATACATACATATCAAGTTTCATCGAGATCAGATAAAAACTGCACAATCTACCGTGTCAAAGCCAAATTTGACACGTTTTTACTAAATCAAGGGCAATAACTCTGAAACCATTCAACCGATTATTACCAAATTCAAATTCGGCACCAATACATACATGCATACCAAGTTTCATCAAGATCTGATAAAACCTGTCATCCATATCGTGCCCACATGTCAAATTTGACGTGTTTTACTTATTCAAGGGCAATAACGCTGACATGGTTCATCCAATTATTACCAATTTCAAATTTGACCAACATCTTATCTATACATGCATACGAAGTTTCAAGTCAATTTAATAGTTTTTAATAGGTCAAGGGCAATAACTCTGAAACCATTCATCCGATTATCAACAATTTCAAACTTAATTGAGATTTCATCAATATATACATACATACTAAGTTTCATCAAGATCGGATAAAACTTGTAGGCTTTATCATGCATATTACCGTGCCAATTTAACGCAATAATTCTGAAACCGTTCACCCTATTATAACCAATTTCGAACTTGACTGAGATATCATCAATATATACATGAATACCAAGTTTCATCAATTGAGATAAAAACTGTAGCCTCTATCGCACCTACAAGAAACGTGGACGGACGAACAGGGGCGACGGCAATATACGTCCACATTTCCATCTGGGCGTATAAAAACTGACGGAGAATTACCAGGTGTGAAAGCTCCTTTTCGCTTGTATTGCGTAACAACCAATGGTATACAGGTATCTCTAGTTACTGATGTAGTTGTTTTAGCTCCACTATTAGGATCAATATATTCCCAAGTATTAGCATACAAAGTATTACTACCATATCCATAAATAGCTTCTCGTAAAAATGTTGCATTGTCTGAAATCAAAAATAGTTATCCTAATGACTTTTGAGGATGTATACGAATGACAGAGCTATGTGTCGGATATGTTTTCTATGCATTGAATTTCACTACATATTTTGCAATGCTATGTCGCATTTTTACTCTTTACAACATAGGATGAACTCGGACGCATAAACTTGATCAAACTAAATGTATTGTTACATGAGTTAATTGTGGTAGAGTTCTCTCATCTCTAGTTACCTCCCCTTGACTGTTAATATTTATGTTTTTAAGAATGCCAGGAAACTTAAATCAGTCATGTAAATTGTATATTCATAATTATCAAGGATTAAGTATTTTATTATGGGTTATCAGGAATTTGTATTTTCTATTATCATACAACTTACTGTATTGGATCAAGAGGCTTATTTCTTATCATTGATTATTTTTGTATTGTAGTTTTTTACCTCCTCCTTCTTCCACCACTACTTACCTTGGATTGTGGATTGGAGGTTTCAAAACAGAACTAAAGGCTTTTAACTTGAGGACATTAGACTTAACAAAGATATTACCTGGTATACATGGTCCTCTCATAGGAATATCAAGTTCATAAACTGTACAGTGATTTTCAATTACAGCATATTCTCTTTTCTGGGGAAAAAACATACATGTATTTAGAAAAGTATTATTGAAATAAATTTAATTCATTCCTATTTATCGACAATAGTTGTGAAGCTATTAAAAATACGTGGAGAAAGTATTAAAAGGAAAAATCTTTACTTACTGCATCGTAGTCTAATATTAATTTACTATAGTGCATGGTTCCATTCACAACAGCATGGGTCGAAAATACCTCCATTTTACCATGGCTATCAAAAGCCATAGACCTGTAACCCTTAAAACAAACAGAAATACATAATTGCTGTCAGAAATA